ATTAAATCTTCCTAAAAGAATGATTACATGATTTTGCACCATTAATATTCATGATTAAAAGCTGGTGTTACTATGAAAATCCAGTTCTTCGGTTATACGAATTGAAGGTCTATAAGGTATTAAAATTCAATGCAAGACGCAGTAAGAAAGCACTTACAAGCAGCGATCGCATTGGATCATAAATTCGTCGCTGTGCAACAATTTGCAATGACATCTGATGACGGACGCCTTTCTTCCGCGTTTCTTCGGTGTTACAGCAGCTTTCACAGGTCTCACAAAAGTTAAACGCTTCAGAGATTTCATCTTTCTTGCCACCTTGTTCGACTTTTTGGTACTCGGCATCGGCAGTTTCTTCAGAACATGAGAGGCATCATTTTGGTCCTCAGCCATATCCTGCATGAAAATGTAAATCACTAAGAGACAATCAATAAATGAATAATTATATTCTATATAACCTCCGTTTCTTGTGCATCCATATAAGTCATTGGTATTTCGATTTCGTTCTGAACACACGGCGCAACAGCAAAGTCTTCGGCTGTATACTACAAGAAAATGTAAGGCAGTCAATGGCAATGCTGACATAAGTAACTATATTTCGTACGACCTTTTCATCTTGTGACTCCTTCTCATGAGCGACCGGCATTTCGATTTTCTTCTGACCTTGTGAAGTGGCGGGAATATCCTGGGCCACATCCTATAAGATAGTACATGACAGTCAGAAGAATTGATCATATAAGCGATCATATTCTATAGGACCTTCGATTTTAGAGAATCCATTCTATCAGGCATGGTTATTTGATTCAGATAGACTGAAGCAGCGGCTATATTCTGTGCTATATTCTGTAAGAAAATGTCATCTAATCAGTTAACAGTGCAAATATAAGTTATTGCGTTCCAAATGACCTTCATCCCCAACGATTCAATGCTATTGGATGAGTACCGTGCATTAATGGCACGCGAAGCAACGGCCAGACCTTCCGCCATATTCTGCAAGAAAAGTGTCATAATCAGAAATACCTTGAACATAAACAATCACATTTAAAATAGCCACGATCTCCTTTGATCCGATTTTATTCAGAATCCGTCTTTCCGCCGCGAGTGATGGAGAAGCAGTTAAATTCCCGTCGGTAGCCTTCAAAAAATGCAAGCAATTAAAAATAACGTAAGTGGACATGGTTATATTTGAAATCACTTTCTTCTTAGGCGTTGAGCTATTGGATGTGTGCATTTGGTCATAATCACGCACTGCATTGTTTAGATCTTCAGTTAGATTCTAGAAGAAGGCGTAAGAAAAGCAGGCGCAATCCAAACACAGATGATTATGTTCGAACTAACCACCATTTTTTGCGACTGCTTCTCAATGTCCGATAATAATTCCTTTAGAATATCTGAAGTAGCGGTTAGACAGAAGGCTACATTCTATGAGAAAATATGATTTAGCGGCTGAGTATACATAAGTGATCCTGCAAAAAAGAACCTTTATATCTAGCGGCTCCAATTTACTGCCTGGGGACATTCTCCACAACGAACGAGAACGAAAAGTCACATGTTGGATCAAAACCTAAAAAAATGCAAGGCAAATAAAGCCAATATTGCTGTAAGTTTTAATATTAAATATTACTTTAAGCTTTAATGACATCGTTGAACAGGATATTACCAATTCCTTCAAAATTTGTGAAGCAAGCAACAGAATTTCAACCATACCCTGAAGAAAATTATGAAACGATGAGAAACAATGTGAATGATAAGCGTAACATTTTAGCAAAGAAACATTTTTGTGCCATTAGCTCGCTTACTTAAGGCGTGAGGCATGGGATAAAATAGAAAGTCTTGGCTTAAGACAAAGCATTTTCGAAAAATTCATCACGTAATTTATGGGCACTCCCATGAAAGGTTTTGTGGCATTGTTTTACTTTCTATTAAGCGGAATTACAGCAGGCGCTAGAATATGACGCTGATAGAAAGCATCAATGTGACTCATTAGTCCTATAGTGCTACTTACGGACAGAATACCATCATTAGCAATTATCATGCAAGTCAACCATGTGAGACATCTCGAGCTGTAGATGAATCGTTCCTTGTTGAAAAAAATAATCAGTGTCTGGTGAAACGCAACTCTGTCTCCTACTCAGTTTACTTTTGGAAGAGCAATAATTTTACTAAAGATACTTAGTTCACGACACATGAGACATGCACCAAATTTTGTTTCTCGCTTCGACATCAAATGATTGTAAATGATACACTGCAGGCTGTTGTGACTATTACATGGCTTAAAGTCAGTTGAAATCACCATATTTCCCTCTGTTGTGTACATCATTGCTCTCTCTGGCGAGTTTTTGCTTTATGATCATAAAATTCAGACTTCGGTATTGCTAATGGCCTGTACGTTTAAAATCGCAAATCTTACACTGCCTAATTCATACATTTTCTGGTAAATTCGAATTATCCTTTTATCATATTATTCACTTTGTGTTATAAGACTAAATTCTGATTTTAAAGTGTCTTCAAGTTGTGGTTCGACAACAATTGACCAACAGTCGGTTCCACCATTCTTTGATGGAGAATCCCAAAAATTGCCCATGAACAACGTTGCATTTTTCAGAGAGTACGATGAGACTTAAAAAGATGCATTCGATGTCGCTACCAAAAAATCATACACTGTATAGCTGATTAATCACTTTTCTTCGCTAAGTTATCTGAACGCTTTCCATACTAAGATTCAGCGCAGAGTCTTTTAAGTGTGGGTTACACCGTCTAGTGCTTATAACACTCCATAATCAGCTATTAGGTGGGTGAATAAGAATTACAACTCTCTGATAGAGGCCCGCTTCAGACAGCATTACTGTACGTCTCACGTATGACCGGTCAAGAACACCATATTGTCCCCATTGTTTGTATGCTGACGATTTGCTACCCGTCTCTCCCTTGGTTTAGCCGAAGCAGCTTGCGGTGAATTCCTTGTTCAAAGAATTTAACGGCTAAGACAAATTATTTCATTTCTCCATTATGGCCCAACACCTCTGGAGCGAGAAGCCGGCCTCTTCACCACTGTGCCATCGCGCTATTGGGGCAGTTCAGTTGACAACTTTTTCCGTTTTACCTTCATTCGGCTCTACTCGGTATCATATGAAAGTGTGTACCAAGTTAATGGATACAGTATGACACGCTATTAACAAAACTCGTTGTTGACAAGGCTCTAGGTTCTTGAAGTCTTATCATCATCACCTAGCAGATAAATCAGCAGTTCTTAAGTAAATTTTACTAAGTGTGCCCTGACGTTAGGATCGCATCGAGTTCCATTCGAGAATTTCAAACAGCCAACTGCCTCGTTTGTTTCGATACATGTGAGGAGCTGTTGAATACAGTAGTGTTTCTAGCTTGCTTGCTCGATAAAAAGCGCTATCAGTTTTCTGGGGTTGTCTTTGGCAGCTTGCATTTTGCTTTTCTAGGCCACTACCCTCTACTATTGACTAATTATTGACTCATTCGCAGTTTCCACAAGCCTGGTCATGGGATAAATTTGGTTGCGTTTGCTTGATTTAAATAGCATTCAAGCCACTTCATATTTATCAATTAGCGGTTAGCACTTTATGCTGCCAACGCCCGTCCGCAGGTTTGGTAAGGCACATTCCAACCTTAAGGTGCGCGCATAAGAAACAACAATGCGCGACTGTAATTTTCGAAGGTTGTCAAAAGCACATTTCAACTCTACGCATTCTCTGTCTCGTTTGGGGGAATCAAAAGTTAAAAGTAGAATTTACCCCTCACTTGTATTTTAATTGGCACATTTGATGTGCACGTTCAAACGACTTTCAACTGCATCACTGTCCAAGGTGTCAGTATATGACTAAGAAAGCGCAACTGATGGAATAATACTGCTAATAATTCAGTGCAAAAAA